CAACGAGCAAGACACGGAGGAAGTCCATCACGAAACACATTGCCTTGAACCACACGATCAAGTTCTGCGCGTTCCGTAGCGTTGCATTGGCAGTCCCAAGTCCGATGTCCCACAGTTTCCAATGCAGTCCCACATTGGGCACACTCCTCATCATGAGTACTGAAGGGGATGCGCGCGATGTTCAAAGCAGTCCACAGCCCCGCTGTAAGGAGCGTTGGCCCTCGGAAGTAGCCGAAGTTCAGAAATACTCTCCTCAAGTCCAGCAAAGTCCTCGGGTCGTCGAGTAGCTTCGCAAGCAGTGACACACCGACGGAGCACATCACGCAGATCATGTTGTCGTCGTTGCCTGTGCAAGAGCTGGCGCAGCGCCGCGACCAGCTCGAGCAAGCATATTAGCAGGTATGTGGCAAGGGGAAGATGACGATGCCGCGCGCAACGTGGTGGATGTAGACCTCCGAATGCCCAACATATTGCAAGCGCGCCCCATCGCAACAGACGGACCAAGTTGTAGACCCTCTCTGTGGCGCCAATGAGAGTCCCACATAGCCAGAGGAATGATTTCAAATGAGACTACATGGTAAGACAGGCGGATTTCCATGAAGATCGCACCGCAAGGGTAATGCGTACGGTGCAGCAGCATACGCCAAGCAACGACCACGGTCCAGGTGTATTTGAACCGCTCCCCGCGTTACCATCGCGGACCATCGGAGGCAACGCTCGGTCAGCCTGGGTCTCCGCGCTCTGCAGGGGGGCTTGCCTCGTGCATCCGCCGCCTGCTTTCGCACTGCGCCTTGGCTTTCGACGCGTCCTCGGCGCCACCTCCGCGAAATAGTTGCGCTGGGCACTGCAGCGGCCGCGCCCGCGCGACGAGAACTCACGAAGCGACGTCTTGCGGCGTTTCAGCAAGGGCCTCGCCTTCGGGAGGAGGAGGAGGAGGAGGAGGAGGAGGAGGAGGAGGAGGAGGTGGCGAGGATCGAAGGAGGTGGCATCTCTTCCTCGGCGGAAGGCGGCGGAAGGTGGGCAGAAGCCGGTGGACGGCCGGTGGAAGCAGCGGAAGGAAGCATTTGCTTCCCAAGAGATGGCAAGGTGTTTTGGTTCAGGGTTGCTTGAACCCGCCAAGTGCCATCGAAACGCATTTGCTGGTACTTCCGCGCGGGCGGTAGAGTTCCTCCGTGGTGGTTGGCGGGCTCGGTGCGCTCGTATTGGGACTCGCGAGCCTCACTACATAACTGCTGGCCTCCTCGTGCGGTCTACAAGGAGGGGGAGGGAGGGATGGAGGGAGGGAGCTCTTGTCGTTCATGGCTGAGGCCTTGGCCTCAGAGGAAGCAGCGCTCGCTATTCATAGTAGTGTTAGCATTCTGCCGTCAGTAACCTAACTTAGGATCTGCGAACGGAAGAGAGGGAGGAATCATCAACAAGGAGGGAATATTACAGAACGTAGGATGCAGGAGGGCTGAGGTATGAGGTGCGAACTATGGCGCATGTAAGCAGGAGGGATGATCATGATGCCGATGTTGATGATACTGGCGGTGGTTTTGCTGATAATGATCTGATCCGTTCAGGGTCTCTCATGAGGCCTACCTGGGTCATCTTGGCGCCCTCGTTGGCCCTCTTGGGCCGTATTAGGATTCCCTTTGGGATGTCCTAGGCTGTCTGGGGGCCCATGGGGACCTCATGGGGCTCTATTGCCGCCTGTCTTTCTCCTCCGAGGCTGTCTGGGAACCGTATGAGGTCGAGAGGCCCGTGACACCGAACATGTTGAGGAACCAGAGGCCGTCCTTGGGCTTTTCAGTGATCTTTGCCCTCCTGCATGACCTTCTGGCTTTCGTGGCGGCCTCGGTGGCCTTCTGGGCCGCCCTGGGAAGCCTCCAGGGCCCTTGGAGATCCCCAGGGGGGCGGCGGTCTGTCCAGGGAGCCTCTCCATGAGGGGTGGGAGGATGAGGAGGAGGAGGAGGAGGAGGAGGAGGAGGAGGAGGAGGAGGAGGAGGAGGAGGAGGAGGAGGAGGAGGAGGAGGAGTAGGAGGAGGAGGAGGAGGAGGAGGAGGAGGAAAGGGAAGGGAAGGGGAGGGGGAGGGGGAGGGGGAGGGGGAGGAGGGAGGAGGAGGAGGAGGAGGAGGAGGAGGAGGAGGAGGAGGAGGAGGAGGAGGAGGAGGAGGAGGCGGAGGCGGAGGCGGAGGCGGAGGCGGAGGCGGAGGCGGAGGCGGAGGCGGAGGAGGAGGCGGAGGAGGAGGAGGAGGAGGAGGAGGAGGAGGAGGAGGAGGAGGAGGAGGAGGAGAGGAGGAGGAGGAGGAGGAGGAGGAGGAGGAGGAGGAGGAGGAGGAGGAGGAGGAGGAGGAGGAGGAGGAGGATGAGGAGGAGGAGGAGGAGGAGGAGGAGGAGGAGGAGGAGGAGGAGGAGGAGGAGGAGGAGGCGGAGGAGGAGGAGGAGGGAGGAGGAGGAGGAGGAGGAGGAGGAGGAGCAGGAGGAGGAGGAGCACTTGGAGGAGCAGGAGGAGCCAAGAATCATCAACGATGTTGGAATGAACCCTCCCTCCAGGCTTCTTCTTCGTAGGCCCCTACAATGGTTCATTTCCATTGAGGGAACTGCCTCGTTGGAAGACAATCGTTTGAAGATCCTGAAGCATGCCAAAACATTGTCCTCGCGAGGATTTCGACGCCACGTATCAACCTGACTGCTTCGTCTTGACGATCCGGAATCATGCCAGAGCTACATTTGTGGGGCTCCACCAGCGCGAATCAACATAATTGTTGCACTCGCATGATCCAGAATCCTACCAAAACACCATTTCTGTTACGTTGACCATGGAAATCCTGTAAACCCTGGGAAATGTTCAAAACGAATGTGCGCGGCGCTTAAGCGAGATCCACATTTTGAAAACGACCCGCCCGTTACCCGTGAAACTCTTGCATTTTGTTTAAACGAATGTGCGCGGCGTTAAGGCGAGAGCCACATTTTGAGAACGACCCACCCTTTATCTGTGAATCGCTTGCAACTTTTTCAAACGAATGTGCGCGGCGCTAAGGCGAGAGCCACATTTTGAGAACGAGTCGCCCCCAATCCGTGAAGCTCTTACAAGTGTTTAAACGAATGTGCGCGGCGCTAAGGCGAGATCCACATTTTGAAAACCATCCGCACTTAATCCGTGAAACCCTTGCGAATTTCGAAAACGAATGTGCGCGGCGCTGAGGCGAGAGCCACATTTTGAACACGACCCGCCCGTTACCCGTGACATTCTTGCACATTTTTAGAACGAATGTGCGCGGCGCTGAGGCGAGAGCCACATTTTGAACACGACCCGCCCTCAACCCGTGAAGCTCTAGCAAATTAACAAATGTGCGCGGCGCTAAGGCGAGAGCCACATTTTGAACTCGACCCGCCCTCAACCCGTGAAGCTCTTGCACATTTTTCAAAACGAATGTGCGCGGCGCTAAGGCGAGAGTCACATCTTGAAAACCACCCGCCCTCAATCCGTGAAGCTCTTGCACATTTTCAAAACGGATCGTGCGCGGCGCTGAGGCGAGAGCCACATCTTGAAAACCACCCGCCCTCCATCGGTGAAGCTGCTGTCACTTTGTTAAGCTTGAGAGTCATCAGTGGTGAGGCAGTCTCTCCGTCGAGACGCCCAGCCCGCCCTAAGAACAGGCCTCGGGGTGCGACAGGGAGAAGTTATCGATGAGGAGAAGGAAGGGAGGACGAGGAGGAGAAGGAGGACGAGGAGGAGGGAGAGGAGGGGGAGGAGGAGGAGGAGGAGGAGGAGGAGGAGGAGGAGGAGGAGGAGGAGGAGGAGGAGAGAGGAGGAGGAGGAGGAGGAGGAGGGTGGGGTTGGGGGTTGGGGGGGCGGGGCGCACGCGCGTGGGCGTCCTCGGAAGAGTCACGGAAGCTGTGCCAGGCAACGCGTGGCATTCTTCCGCTCCTCGGCGTGCCAGAGGGGGCGGCAGGGAGCATCAGACCAGTGCCCCAGAGAAGCACCCTATGTTAGCAGCGGAGGTGAAGTGGCGGGTCGAGGAGCGGGAGGCCCGCGGGTGAACATATGTGCATTCCTAGGAACGTTGGGGGTTCCTAGGATTATGATGCCCCCAGTCGATGTTAGCCTGGACCACCAGAAAGCATTTCGAGCACCGAAAACCTTGAGGGTTTTCCCGTGCTGGTCCCTGGGAAGCGGTACCCTTTCGACACTGTTTCGGTGCCTTTCTGGGCGCTCGCAATTAATTTTGGGATTTGACCCTTAAGTACGATGGGGACAACATAATCCTAGGACGCGCGCAGTCATGTGCACCCTTTTGTTTTTTGTTTTCTTACACCAGGGATCGTTGCTGTCCAAACCAAAATTGCAGCCCGCAGTGTGGCGATACCACGATTTTGGAATACACCGTGAGGAAGTCGAAAGCGAGACGGCCGTCCAGGAACGACGTCCTGGGACTCCGCGTCCCCCGTGTGGGTCTCGGTGTGATCATTTTTCCTCCACTAGAATCCTCTGTCTTGAAACGCTGTTGAGACAACCCATCGGTTGTTGAACGCATGTGCCTTGGGGTTCCCAGATCCCAATCTACGTACAATAGGCGCCTTCCTTTCCCAATAGCCGAACAGGTTTTCCTCTCTCCTCTTCAGGGATAACCCATCTACTGTCAGCAGCTTCCTATTTCATGTTTCTAACACCCCTCCCGACCGACGGGTAATTCTGGCATGGAGTGGTTCCCATCATCGTCGCTGGTCGAGGTGGTTGCCGTTGCACACGACATATCGACTGAACAGAGGGAACAATGCTAGTTGCGGAGGACGTGGCACTCTAAGATCAGAGAGTACACCAAACGATGTATGGGGCCAGTGGAAGTCAGTATAGCTGAACAGTTGTGTGTTCATGCACTGCAACACGCAGGCGCCTGACTATTGCGCTCAAAGCTTCACCAGGGGGAGGAGGAGGAGGAGCGGGAGGAGGAGTTAGAGGAGGAGGGGGAGGGGGATGATGCGGATTCTATAGAGACCCCCCCACCTTCCTCGAGGCTTACAAGAGGCGCAACGAGGAGCTGGAGGCTAACCTCGTCGACGTGATCAAGGAGATCAAGTCCCTCCAGGAGGGAGAGGGGCTCATCTCCTTCTCCTCTTCCTCCGCCTCCTCCTTCCCGCCCTTTTTCTCCTTCTCGTTCTCCGCCTCCGCTCTCTCCGCTCCCCCTGCCTCCTCCCAGGCTCCGCTCCCGGAGGAGGGACGGAGGACGTGGAGCAGGGGACGGGCGAGGCTTTGAATTGGATTCCGTCAGATCCGGGCCTGATGATGATGATGATGATGATGATGATGATGATGATGATGATGATGATGATGATGATGATGATGATGATCATGATGAGGTGTGTGAGGAACATCAGGTGGGATTTGATGATGCTGCTGGTGATGATGATTGTGATGCTGGTATTGATGCTGATGCTAATGCTGATGCCGATGCATATGCCAATGCTGACGATGCTGTTGCTGTCACCGTTGCCGTTGCTGCTGCTGTTGCTGCTGCTGACGATGACGACCATGATGCTGGTTTTGCTGATGATGATGTTGATGATGCAGCTGAGGATGACGCTGATGGTGATGGTGCTCCTGATGATGAGTCTGATGCTGATGGTGATGCTGCTGCTGATGATGCTGATGATGCTGCTGCTGATGATCAGGATGCTGGTTATACAGATGGCGGTGATGCTGACGCTGTTGCTGCTGATGATGCTGATTCTTTCTTCATCTTATGATTATGATGTTGCTGATGATGGTGATGATGATGCTGATGATGATGCTGATGCTGATGATGCTGATGCTGCTGCTGCTGCTGATGATGATGATGATGATGATGATGATGATGATGATGATGATGATGATGATGATGATGATGATGACTATGATGCTGCTTTTGATGAGGATGTGGAGGGGGGCCATATTAACTTCAAGAGTCACCTACGACGATGCAATCCCCCTCCCGTTCCAAGTACACTCCGCATCTGTCCCTCAGCCCCTGGCGTTTCTCTTCACTACGGAGAGCGCTCCCTTTGACGACGAGCACCCCTAAGGGCCTGTCATTCAGGCGAGGGGCCCGTTTTGAAAAGGAGGTGTCCTGTGTAATTGTAGTTGGAAAGATTGTGGGGATGCACGAACATACATTCCTGATGTTTTAGGTACTCCAGATTTCGTAATAAAGGGAGGGGGGTCTCATTTCGGGGGGGGGTCTCTTCCAGGCTATCTTGGAGGGCCTGGGGGGGTCTGGGGACGATGTTTTGGAGGGTTCTCCCAGGGGGGGGGGGTCTAAAACTTCTCGTCTGGGAGGGTTGAGACCCCCTCCCTTTTATTACGAAATCAGGAGTATCCCCGCCAGCCCATGAACGATGCCTAGGGGAGTCGCCCTCATCGAGGGGGGCGTGGCAGCATGTCGATTCCTCGGGGAATCCCAGCAACCTAGAGGCCTCTTGGATGTCTCTCGGAGTCGCTGGGGATGTCTCCCGGGGGAGGGCTCTTTGTGGCATCTTCGGGCGTCATGGGGTCCTCTTTGGGGCTCTTGGTGTTTTCTTGCGGCGTATTAGGGGCCTGTCGGGAGCCTCTTGGGGGCCACTTGGCGATCTCTTTGGGGCCTTCTGGGTCCTTCCTGGGAGGTTCCCTACTCAGCGCCCCCCCCCCCCCTCTGGAGCTCCTGGTTTCGCCTCCTTTGGCTCTCTTCGGGCGGTCTTGGGGTGCTCTTGGGCGCTCTTGGGGCCGTCTTGGAGCGCTCTGGGGCCCCTCTTGGGACCCTCTTGATCCCTTTCGGCGCCATCTTGGGGCCGCGGGAGGCCACCGGAAAAGCAAGCCAGCGAGAAGGCACTGCACAGTACTTTCTCTCAGGGCTTGGACGGACTTGGGCCTCTTGGGGCGTCTTGGGGCCCCCAAGGCCACATGGACCCATCTTGGAGCGGTCTTGGGATCTTGTGGAGTACCCGCCGGTCGTTGAAAATATGTATTTCTGGATTTCCGGATTCCAATATCCTTTAGGCGCTTTCCTATTTCAAGGATCGAGTGGTTTCCCTTTCTCCTTCGTCTTCAGGGGGCGGGCGGAAGCCCAATCTACTTCCAACGCCTTTCTACTTCATGTTTCTGCCCACTTCTTCCGACCGACGGGCATGGTGGAAGCAATCTGGAGCGATCTTGCGTAATCTTGAGCCCTATTGGACGCCATCTGAGGCTATCTGGGGCAATCTTGGAGCCACCGTGGGTTAGCTTGCGCGCTCTAGTGACCAGCGTCCCCCCCGTCCGGACCCACGGGTAGGCGGTAGGGGGAGGGGCAAAACCAACCCTCCCCGAAGGAGACGCGGGAGGTTGGACGAGTAACCGCTCTAAACCACCTACGCCCTGAAAGGCAGGTGGGATTCACGGTGAGAGTACTGTGTTCGAACAGGAGCCGTCCCGCATATGGGTTTGGATTGCCATTTTTAGTGTTTTGATGGCCGTAGTTTCTGAACACGTCTTTTCTATCCACGGCTACAGTTCATTGCATGATCTTGCCTATGGCAGGTCGGCTCTTGTCACGTTCATGCTTTGCTGGGTGATCATCTGCTTCACGCAATTGTGCTTAAAACGCCGTTGTGCGGTCCAGTGAATGCGCACTCCTTATATCTTCTCCCTCCAGAAACGAAACAACTGTTCGAGGACGTCTCAAGCGGGGCCAATCTTGGAAAAGCAACCGTCTTTCATACTTGCTATTGTTGCGCGACGCGCCAGTTCAAGTTATAGAACGGGAGGTCGTCTCCAGCCAGTGCTCAAGTTTGAAAAGGATCGGCCACCAATCCTTGTACCTGGCGGACCTTTTTGAGACGAATGTGCGCGGCGCTCAGGCGAGAGCCACATTTTGACAGCCAGCCACCCTCCAGCCGTGTTAGGACATGTCAAGATTTAGGGTCATTAGCGGCGAGGAAGTCTCATGCGAAACGCTTGGCCCGCCTTGCCGACACGCCTGGTGGTGTGACGGGCAGCTGCGACTTATAAGGATCAAAGTGGACGTGAGGGAGGTCGAGGAGGAGGATGGGGAGTAAGAGGATGAGAGGGGAACACGGGGGGAAGGTGGCGGAGGCGGAGGACATGGCCATGGAGGAGGAGAGCGAGGATGAGTGAGAGGATGATGATGATGATGATGATGATGATGATGATGATGATGATGATGATGATGATGATGATGATGATGATGATGATGATGATGATGATGATGATGATGATGATGATGATGATGATGATGATGATGATGATGATGATGATGATGATGATGATGATGATGATGATGATGATGATGAGGAGAGGAGGAGGAGGAGGAGGCGGAGGAGGAGGAGGAGGAGGGGGAGGAGGAGGGGGAAGAGAGAGGAAAAGGGGGAAGGAGGAGCAGGATGAAGAGGAGGAGGAGGAGGAGGAGGAGGAGGAGGAGGAGGAGGAGGAAGAGGAGGAGGAGGAGGAGGAGGAGGAGGAGGACACCGAGGAGGTCGACCATGACGATCTGGAGGACGACGACGGCGGGGCCTCAGGCCATCGCCAGCGAGCCCGTGCCCGCCAGCGCCCAGCACCGGTAGCGTATATAGCCGCCCGCGGGCTGGGGTGCCGGGGTGACCCTCCGGCGGCTCGGGGGCAGCGCCGCGCGGGCAAAAGCGCGCGCGGGGGTGCGTCGAAGAGCAGCAGCAATGCGAAGAAGACAAAACATGCCATAGACACAAACTGTCGGCGCTCCGCGGGGATATTTCTTGGAGCTGCGCCGGACACAGCGGCGCCTCCAGCGCCGCCCCTGGCGCGCTCCGCGCACCAGGGAGGGGGGGTCCATCGCAGATCCAAGAAATCCGCGCGGAGCGCGAAAAATTAGTGTTTATGGCGTGTTGCTGTCTTCTAACAATCGAGCGACTCAAGAAAACGGGTTCGCCCGCGCCGACAGTTGTGCGCAAGCTGCCCGCGTAAGGTCGCGCGCAAGCGCCCTCGTCTCTTATGTGGCGTGCCGCGCTGGCGGCCCGCGTAAGCCGCCGCGTAAGGTCGCTATGCCACCTCTGTAAGGTCGCGCGAGGTCGCTGTGTCATCTCGCGTAAGACCCAGCTTTGATCGTCGCTCAATTGCATACACGTTCGTGGCTCCGGGCGGATGTCTCGGACTGGCGCTCGGGTCCCCCTGGGGGCCAGCGCTGATCCAAGGGAAGCGCGCGGAGCTCCGAAAGTCTCTGTTCATGCAGTCTTTTCTTAGTCAAGAGGCTTACAGTCGGGGCCCTGAAGAAGGAACCCTTTTCGCTGGGGAGGGGCTCGGTGTTCCTTGACTGTGTTGCAGTTTGCCTTCGGTTTTCCCAATATTCCCCATGGGAAATCGAAGTTTAACTTATGGAGCAAAGGGGCCTCGTTCCTTATTCAGGGTTCCTTAGGTCGACGCCCCGACTGTACGCCAGTCCGCCGACCCCCCCACAAGCAGTGAATGTGCTTCAAGAGTCGTGCCACCGCGCCCGGCCTGCGGGCCGGGATCCCCCGGGGGGTGCATGTGGTGACGGCCCCCCGGAGTGCCTCTCGGGGGGCCTTCTGGCGGGCGCTCTCGGGGGCAGCTGGTTAGCTTTTGGAGTGCCTCTCGGGGGCCTTTTGGAGGGCGCTCTTGGGGGCATCCGGTTGGCTCTTTGGGGGCCTCTCTCGGGGGCCTCTTGTCAGGAGCGAAAGAAGGACGTACACGTACATGAATCCACGCTGGTTTCGAGAGTACGCATTGCGCAAATGTTCGTATAACGCGGCCGGTCTCGCGGATCGAGGGGCCGTGTTCATGTACATAGCTGGGCGCGTGCGTCCTTTGTGGGCTTCCTATCTTGGGTGCGTCTTGGGTGCCTCCTGGAGGCCTCTTGGAAGCCTCTTGGCGGCGCCCAGGAGGTCACGGGGAGGCTCTCGGGGCCACCACGGCGGGGAAGGCTCGAGATGTCGGTTCGTGCTGCCCCTCCGGGGCCTCTCTGGGGACCCTCCTGGGCCGTCTTAGGGGCCCCTGGGGCCCTCTTGGGGCCCTCGTGGGCCCTCTTGGGGCCTCCTGGGGCTCTACTGGGCCGTCTTGGGGCCTCCTTGGGAGCCTCATGGGTCGTCTTGGGACCTTCGTGGACCCTGTCAAGGCGAAAAGGGCGTGCATGTCGAAAATGTATGTGTCTCGGTTGGAGTGGGACAATTTGTGCCTTTGGAGGCCCTCTCGGCGGCCTTCTGGGAGCACTCTTGGGCCGCCTTGGGGGCCTAGTGGACAGTCTTGAAGCCATCCTGGACCGCCGCGGGGTTGCCCTGGACAGTCTCGACGCTCTCTTGGATGATCTCGGCGCCCACTGGACTGTCCTGGGGCTCCTTGGGAGGCGCCGGAAGGCGCCCGCGGTGCGCTGACGAGGTCGTACCCCCTCTCAGGCCCCGCTCCCCGGACCCCCCTCCCAATCTGATTCTTGGCCCCAGGGGGAGGGGAAGTGGGGAAGGGGGAGTGGTGAATGGGGAAGGGCAAGGGGAAGGGGAAGGGGAAGTGGGGAAGGGGAAGGGGAAGGGGGAAGGGGGAGTGTGGAAGGGGGAAGGGGAAGGGGGAGGGGAAGTGTGGAAGTGGGGAAGGGGAAGTGGGGAGGGGAAGTGGGGAAGGGGAAGTGGGGAAGGTCGGGTGCGGCAAAGAGGGGGGTGATGACTAGGGGGGGTGGATATCATGGCGGGGGCCATGAGATTTCCCCAGATTCTATGGCGCCTCTTCTTGTCTCATTACGTCCCTGGCCCCCCCGCTGGGCCGCGCACATGCCGCCGGTCATGACTTGCACCCCCTCCTCTTGGGGCCGCTTCCGAGAAGGGGGACAGCCAATCATCTCACACGCCTTCTTCAAGGGGGGGAGAGCCACCCAGACACCAGCACTCGGCGGTTACTCAACGGCCGCGGTTGTTTACTGAGCACCCCGGCCCACTTCGATTCCTTCTTCGAATGCGTTTACTAGTCGGCTTCGCTTGTCGGGTGCCCTCTACTTATCACCCCCAGCCATCGGGGGTCGGCGGATGAGTGCCTCCCCTATGTCACCGCGTTGTGCAGGCTATCTCTCGCCTCTTGCGCCTTCGCTGGTTGGCGCTGCATGGTCGTGCGTGCCTTCTCCTTTTTCTTCTTCTGCATGGGGCGTGCGGCGCCTTCCATCGCACAGTGCTTGGCGTGCGGCACCGCCAATGCTTCGCTGTGTTGGACCAAGCGGCCAAGAGAAGAATCAAACGAGTATGTTTAAGTCGGGCGTGCCCCCCTACAGGTGGATTTTCGACGAAAAGTATAACATATTCCAAAACGGTCAAAAATACCCCCAAACTAGTCCCCAGACTTTATCTTGACTATTTTTGAATATCCCCCCCGTAGAGGGACACGCCCGACTTACGAGCATGTGCGTCCCCGCCGCACGGCCGGCCCCGCGCGTGCCTTTCAGCCTCCCCGGTGGGCCACGGACGCCGAGGCCGAGGCCTCCGTCGGAGCCCTCGTCTCGCGGCGCGGCCGGCGCCGGCTCGGGGGCCCCACCCCGAACGTTTTGTGGTGCACACGCCGCGTCGCGAGCCAGTGTCGGCGGCGAGCGAGCAAGGGGGGAAGCGAGAAGGAGAAGGCCCTCTCAGAATTTGGACGCCCGAAATTCAGGAGCGAAAGAAGGACGTACACGTACATGAATCCACGCTGGTTTCGAGAGTATGCGTTGCGCAATTATTCGTATAACGCGGCCAGTCTCGCAGATCGAGGGGCCGTGTTCATGTACATAGCTTGGCGCGTACGTCCTTTGTGGGCTCTCTAGAAATGGGTACGGAAAGAATGGGTACAATGCCCAACAGCAGTTCCTGTTCGTTCTGAACAGGTCTCGCTGTCGGTGTCGCCGCGGCCGGTGTCCATTCGAGACAGGGCCGCCCGCCCAACAGCGGCCGCTGTTGGTTTGGGACAACATTTGTTGTTGGGCATTGTACCCATTCTTTCCGTACCCATTTCGGGCGTCCACAGAAGGCGGCGAGGCTTCCCAGAAGCCCTCAGAGGCCTTCGCGCCTTCTGAGAGGTTTTCCATGTCTCCAGGGAAGGCTGAGGTCAAGTCGGGCGTGTCCCTCTACAGGAGGGGTATGCACACGTAGTTAACATAGTCTGGGGACGTTTTTTCGACTGTTTTTGATAGTTGTTTTGGCATTTGTTGATTTTCTGCTATCTTTCGTTCAAACTCCGCCTGTAGGAGGATATGCCTGACCTGAGGCCAAGCAAACTTCTCAGGAGGCCCGGGGACGCCCGAGCCTTCTCTGAGAAGGCCCAGCCCCCTCTCGCTTCCACCCCCCCCCGCTGGCCGCGGCACGCCGCGCGGCGAGTCCGCGGGGGGTTCGGGGCCACTGCGCGGTTTTTTGGGGGAGGGAGGAGGGAGGAGGGAGCAGGGAGGAGGGAGGAGGGGAGGAGGAGAGGGAGGAGGAGGGAGGAGGGAGGAGGAGGAGGAGGAGGGAGGAGGGAGGAGGAGGGAGGAGGAGGGAGGAGGGAGGAGGGAGGAGGAGGGAGGGGAGGAGGGAGGGAGGAGGAGGAAGGGAGGAGGGAGGAGGAGGAGGGAGGGAGGGAGGGAGGGAGGAGGGAGGAGGAGAAGGAGGAGCAGTGAGGAGGAGGAGCAGGGAGGAGGAGGAGCAGGGAGGAGCAGGGAGCAGGGAGGAGCAGGGAGCAGGGCGAAGCAGGGAGGAGGAGGGAGGAGGAGGGAGGAGGGAGGAGGAGGGATAGATAGACAGCGCCTCATGAGAGGTCGGAAGATGAACGCACCAGGCAATTGGCATGATACCAGTTACGCCATCGAGATCGAATTCGCAGCCTCTTTAGCCTTGATCCTGGCTAGTAGGGCTGCCATCCTCTGCTCATACGGGGGACCCCCTTTCCCATCACTAAAGTTACGGGGGACCGTGGTAACATGGGCGGTTGAGCAGGCACTGGCCATGGTCGCATCAAGCCGAGACACTGGGAGAGCTCGATCAATGATCTCTCTCAACCTGGGGTTCGGCACTACCACGGCGAAAATTGCTCAACACCTCAGCCCCTTTCTTGGTCGGCTTCCGACAAACAATACAACATTTCACGGTTCTCCCCTGGGGCCACCCGCCGCATTTGAGACAGAGGAATTGTTGTTCAGTTATCGTCGTCGCACCCTCGGACCCGACAGGACCGTCAAGGGCCCCACTGGCCTTTTCAAGAGCCTGGCCCGACACGGCGACCTGGGAGTGGCCTTTCGGATCTTCGAGCAACTGTCGAATACATGGTGGAGTGCCTTGGCACCCGTCTTGTGGACGGTGCTCAGACTCACACACAATCAAACAATGCACGCACTGCATGCCAAGCTCTGTCCTGCACCACTGATGCCAGTTCACCCTACGACGAGACTGAATCCTCGACCTGATCGCACCACGAGCCCACCGCATCTCATTCTTAAAGAGGGGCAGGGTGGCACAGGCAACTCTGACAAACGCAGCAGCACGGGTCTGAGCTAATTCAATCGTCGTGAGGAACTCTGGATCGGCACTCGGGTGGCCAGACAGTGCAAGCTTGGCATGGTCATCTACAATCTTATTAGCCTGTCCATAGCGATACT